AACAGTTCTTATTAATGTCAACAGATGTATACTTCTTTTCCTTCGATATGTACACTACTGTAAGCCAAAGATTCTTCTAATATTAAATTTAGAAGATTAGATAAGCATATCCATAAAATGAATGTAACATTATGTACTTGTGGATAAAACTTATTACTCGAGTCTATATCTTTTCTCAGCGGAGTGATTCAATGCGAAGCTTTCATTATCTTTTTAAACAACACTTTCAGTGATAATTAAAATGAGAAGTGAACTTTTGGAATTCCCCATGGATGAAACATCCCTCAATACAATTGGATAGGAACCTTAAATTTCCAGAGACAGCCAATCACAGTTTAAGTCACCATAGAAACTGGTGCACACAGGCAGTTGTGAAAACTTACTTCACAGCGCTGAAGATGTTGTCTAAAAAGACAATGAATACTTCGTAGTTAAGCCATGAAGCTCAGAGAACATGATAACTCCATATGCGATGTCAGATTTCTACTCTTGTATGCTAATGACAGTTATATGCATTCTATTTCTATGTGGCTATATATATATATATATATATATATATATATATATATATATTACTTTAACCAACTCCACACAAACGGTCAAATGTAAAAATAAAACACTAGATTTCATTGTGCTATGCGAGAAAGTAAAAAAAAAGTCATACTATTTAGACACAGCTATTGGTGTTATTAATGCTATTATTTGTAATATTTCTCTACACATACTACTCAGCATGAAATTAGGCCTTCTTTACCTTTGTTAAAATGTATGTCGCATCATATTTGAAAAATCTTTAAGCGTCATCCTTATTGACTTTATCATTGATCCATTCCGTGTAATAATTTAAACTTTTTTGATCGATAGGTTATGTATTATTCTTATTGGTCTATTTCTAATTTAATCTGTGAATGTATTTCAATTGGCATAAACTGTATAATAGTAATAATTATTATAAAGAAATATCACCTATGGTAATCACTGTTTAGTACAAGTTGTAAAGTACATGATTGACAGTGCTGAGTTGACTGTAAAGATGCTTATATATATGTGTGTTTTCGTGCACGTATATATATATATATATATATATATATATATATATATATATGGAGAGAGAGAGACTACTGTAGTCACATTAGGATTAGAAAAATTCATTTCCAAACTCCTAACAGTAATTTTCACGATCGTGATTAAATTTTTGTGGGCGCGAAAGAGTAACTTGCTGTTATTATCGATAATGAAACAAAGATATTTATCAAGGTTAGCAGTAGAGTATAGTCTGCTTAACCAGAAGTGATAAAGTGAAGGGAAAAGATCTATCAGCTTAACTATTAGCTATAATAGTGGATGACTATTTAAATCGAGTTCTACAATTGTTTTCTTGTCTATAATAATAAATTTATTAAATAAATTAAGGTGAACATACAATGACGTAACATTTACATTATATTTATTAGATCTGGATATCTAAACTACTCATCCTAGACGTTTTGGGTTAATACTTGCGATATTTGGTTGTTATAGTAAAGCCATCGAGTGGTTCTTATTTTGCGAGAAATCCTGGAGTAATGAACATCTGCTAGGTGTTGTATAGCAAGGACTAGATATGTTGCTGAATGCGTAGGTTATTGTGAGGGCAGTTGAACTTGTTCAGCTTACTTCACACTGAGCTACATTATACAGTGCACGAAACTAAATGTTATTGATTTATATTACTAGTAGTGTTATCACTGGAATAATTACATTGAGAATTAATTATAGCGGTCAAAAATCATGTTTTCGGTGTTTCTCAGCTTAAAAACTGATTGTCAGCATACATACTGATAAGTAAGAAGACCGAATAGGACGTCGAATACTGAGTTCTACAAATTTCGGTTGTTTCATAAAACCTGTAATGTTATTGATTCAGAATAAGCATTTTTTGTGTTCCGCTTCTGCCCACACAGAATTGGTAAATGAATCGTCACATGAAACTGTTATATTTTTTCTGATATTCGGGATATTGATTGCATTAGACAATAGTTGTCGCGCAGACTAGGACTTAATTCTAGTCGTGGTTAAAACAAATTGAAAACTGTCAGTTTCAAATGTATTTACACCATTTTTTCATCCGCAAGGTGACAAAAAGCTTCGATTATATATGTAACAGGTAATACTGAGGCGAAAAGTAGTTACAACAGGATCTGACCAGACTGTCCTTGGTGCTTATGCCTTGAGATGCAGAGACCTAGTCACTGATTTTTTCGGGTTGTCATGTGAATTGACTGTATGTAGAGAGAACTGAGTGTAAATAGACTAGGTTCATTATTTTCTACGCATTTTTCTATTTGTTATCACTTAAGCCTTATGTTAGATATTTTTCACGTAATATTTAAGTTCCTTAGATGCGTTTGTCGTGGGAAGCGTTTTACGATCACCAGTCCATGTACAATTTATGGTCAGTTTTCATAAAAACATATCTGAAGTCAGACGATTTACTTCTAAGATTTAAATCTGTAATAGGTCTAATAGTCATAAAATCAGTTTTTCAAATCTCCTTTTAGTCTCTGCTCTCTGTCTTCATTTATTGTATTATAATACTTTATTTTAATTTTGCAGGTGTTATTATTATAACTTGTGAAATCTGCGGAAAGTTCCTCTCTCCTAGATGATATTTTGTTTCCTTGATACATTCTCACCAGTTCGTCTTCTCATTTAGGGGTTTAGCCCACTTGTAGGATTTAATTTAATAAATATTGTGATAGTTATGATTGGATTGAGCTATATCACACTTTGCTCTATGTGGGAGTATGCAAATTATATAGTTTGGGCAGGGAGATGGGTGGATGAGGAGTAGAAGAATGAGAGAATGAGTGGTGGAAATTTATCTCAACTTGTTATTGTCTGTCCGCTATAGAAATAAGAGATGCGGGTAGCTAAAATCTACAATCATTAAAGCATTTTATTCCTCTCAAACCTGTTTTAGTTCTGATTTTTGCTGTTGGCCTTAGATATCTGATTCCCAAAGATTGTATTTTCTTCCTTCTTTCCTTTTAGTTGAAGTTAAAAGTATTAGACAGGTTTCGCAAGAGAATTCTGCTTCTCATCCTCTCTCTTTCTCTTTCTTTGTTTTTACAGTCTCAAAATTTTATACATGTCTGTGTGCTTGTTATCGAGACTCATCTTCCATCCACATGCATGTACACATTCCCCCTCTCATCCATCCTTGTTTCTCTTCTTCAGTTTCACGACAGAGAAGTATATGTCATCTAATTAAAATTAATTTTATTTGTATACTTATGTAGTAACATAATGTGAGTGCAGATAACTGTATAATTGTAATTACGTCAATGTATCAAATGTAGTTATTATTATTATTCTGCCTTATGTAATTCTTTTCTTTATTAAAGTTATAAGAAATTCATCTTTTTTCCCCAATCAACCAAATTAGGTTAGTAAGTTAGGTTTAATTAATCCAAAGATTTAGAATCTTCTCTAGACTTGATCTTGTTAGTTAGATCAACAACAAAAAAGAAATCATTCTGCGTCTCTATGTCACATTGATAAACTGTTTGAGAATACTCAGCTTACAATTTACACTTTCTACATCCAAGACAATAGTCCAGGATGGTTATAGAAGGCTTAAAGAAAATTTCCCAAACTATACCATGAATTGCATTAAGAAATTAAACATTTCATTTTCATTCTTCTTCTGTTCTTCTATTATAGCTCTACGGAGTGTCTATTGAAGGTAATAAAAACCTATCAAGATTTGAAGCATTTAGTAATCAGTATCTTCAGCTGGTCAGTATTACTAAAAAAGCAATAAAAGTAAAATAGTTGGATAGTTAATACAATGAACATACCCGAAAAAGACTACAATCATTTATATGTACACATAACAACTGAACTAAACTTTAAGCGATTGAAGTCAAATCAAGACTCTGTTGGCAACTTGAACTCTCGTAGCTTAGTCAGTCAACTTCACTAATAACCTCTTTACACCAGTCTTTGAAGTGAAAACAAGTTAGGCATTTAACAAGGTTATTACGTTGTATAACTGTGGTGGATATGAATATTGCAATGAATTTTAAAAATACTACCGGACGGATGGAGTAGAAGAAACTTCAGGACATTTAAGTGTAGATATAACACTATATTATAATCATATCAGTGTGTTCACATTACTGCTTAAATTACTTGATGTAGTTATGCTTCTTCCTGTTTTTAATTCAATGTCACAAATATCTGATATTGGTATTGCATAATTCCTATTACTGTTGTTGATTCAGTGAATAACGATTCTGTGATTAATTTAGCTCTTCACCCGACTGCCTTGACTTGAATACTTTTACTTTACCTCGTCCTATAGTGTAATTGTATGCAGTTGGATGCATAGTAACAGCTGAGTTTTTCCAGACTGCTTGTTTTAGTGGGATTTATCATTAATGAAATAAATAACTGTAGATATTAGCTGTAGGCTTTCAAGCTAATATTATATACTTTTGGTTGAAGGTTATAAAACAAATATGACTGATAACCTATGGGTGATTTCCGAAAAATTTAGTTTCGTATTCCATATGTGTATGCATCGCTCTGATAGCATATGTACTCAAAAAACTTCAGAATATTTCTTAGATTTATTTATGTATTCATTAGGTGATAATTGAAAATGAAATGGAAGTCAAGATCGTTCCAGGATTCGAATCATCGGTCTGTAGATTACTAGCTTGTAGTTGTACTCACTTAGCTATAAGCTGTGAGTTCGATTCCTGTCGCTGCTCAGAATGTAGTCTCACCATTTGTCAACCACTTCATCCATGATAGCCTGTCAATCCAAGGTTATGAGAGATGGAATCATCACCAATCTGTTTATCTCACCGCCTTTTGTTGAAGAATATGAGAATAGGAAGAATAATTAAAATAATTTTATTTGGTTAAAGTTTTATTGCTACAATACTGATACAAATCAAATCAGAATGACAAATTCATCTTTTTTTCTGTCTATTCAATTTTTATTGCAGTTGTCATACTGTGCACAGATCCAGAAGTAGTACGAAATATTATGTTAGAAGCGCATAAATTAAATATGGTCAATGGAGATTATGCATTTTTCAACCTGGACCTACTAAGCAGGTATGTGTTTGCACTTTATATTTGACTCATTTTAGGAGCATATATATATATACCAACCGATATTAGGTCCGGTAAAATGGGAATTTCATGTTTGAGATTAGGAACACCATGATACCTACAGTCTATTTCATTAGTCTGTCAATCTGATATATATCGAAAATCTGTCTCATTACCTTGTAAGTCAGTCGCATGTCTCATGAAGACTGTCAACCAATTAGAATCCAGCATGCAGTTAACGCCTGCTATTCGAGCCTTATGACTGGATCAACGTATGTCATATGTTTTCGTACTCTTGGACACTTTTTCTCCCACCTGTTTGGAAATACACATTTTCCAGCCCTATTATGTGGATCTTCTGGATTTGTTAGTTCAGGTCACGGAATAATTGACCAGGAAATTATCCAGCGTTTATCCTCGTAAATTAGCATTCATATTTACGCCCGGTGAAATCATAACACATCACTATGAAAAAAGAGATCCCAATTGTTACTGAAACTATAAAAAGAACAGGAAAAGTAAACGCATTCTTCGCTAAAAATCGTAAAGACTCTTCATTTCGAGGATGGATGCCGCCGGTGGGTAATTAGTCTTCGGAAAACCAGTAGGCTGATGTGTCTGCTTTCGATGAAAGCAAAAATAAGAACGGTGACATGGAAAGTCCACAGCTTCTTTGAAGCTAACAAAAGTATGCTCAGACTGCAGGAAAAATTAGAAGATATGGTAAAAAAGTGCTAGGAGTCTGTGATAGCAGACGAAATAGAAGTGGACTTTTCAAACTGTTAACTAAAGAAGTTAATTGGTGGATGGTGACTAACAATGGAATCCAGGATGTGCATTTCGTCCTATTTGGGACTCATCACTGGACGTGCCTGCATTCCACAGTGAGTGATAATGTTCCCACCGGGGCTCGAACCCAGTGCCTATAGTTTCAAACGCCTAAGCGTTGTCCACCAGACCATTTGGGCCACGAGAGCCACCTCTTGTGCAACGGGTCATGTAAATTATTTAACTCAGTTTAGGTTTTCCGAAGTGCTTGGTCTCGGATGACGAGTCCCAGATAAGACGAAACGCGCATCCTGAATTCCACTGCTAGTCACCATCATCCAATTAACTACTAATTTCATGCCCAGACATCTTCGAAGCATCTGCACAAGAAGCCGGCATGTCAACCTGAGATGGATCACTTCGGTTCAATCAATCGACAGGAAAATCTATAATTTTCTTTAGTCATCAAGACACCAACTACAAGAATATATTTATATGTATAACCTTTGCCTGTAAACCACTGTCTTATCTTGTCACTAACACTACTGTTATTTACTTCTTTTCATGTGAGTAGGAGTTTATTGTTGATAAGTAACAGCAGATTGTGTTCGTCTTATTTCCCACAGATTTTCTCCTCATTTTCTCACTGGAGGATACTTTCAAAATGGGTTGTTTTCGTTTTGTAAAGTGAAAGATAAACAGTTTTGCTACTTTATATTGAGCTTTGTTTTTCTGTTATTTGTATTTATATGCTCGTTACTATCGTTATTACTGCTCCTATTGTTATTTCCGTGTATTCTTTTTTATACTCTCTAATCGACTGTTTGTCCTTACGTCTACATACTTTACACACACATACAAGTAGTGGGTAAGATGTAAGTACAAGTATGCATACAATGAAAAGGGGAAGCTGCTAAACTTACTAAGAATTATTCTCTCATCTGTTACACTATTATTGTTTATTCGTTTCCATTCTGCCTGGGATTCTTTGTTATTGATACAAATTTACTGACGTTATCATTGTCGTTATTGTTCTCATAATTCGGTTTATCTGTTCAGAGACAATGGAGAATAGGGCCTTATTCTCTTCCACCAATGTATAATTTATTCCACTAATTATTTGTTAAGTATTGTATTATAAATGAATATGATGTAGGTAGTGGGAGAAATCTGTTCTGCCTCTCTACCACTGTGAAAAGCTGATAAAGAGAATCAATCAGCTATTTTATGATAATTATGATAGGCAATCTCTGTGCTTACTCATTTATTACGATTATCGTTTCACAATAGGTTATATATCGTTCGTATGTTCAACTTCTGAGACAGGTTAGAGGAAGCAGTAATCAACTCCACTATGTGGTGGTGCCGTAGAATAAACTAAGCTGTGTTGTGTTAGTCTTTATAGATACATTTGGACGCTTAAAATGAAGTACAAATGGTTATACCAGTGCATATATCTCTCGGAATCGAATCCACTGGCGACTATAACGCTACTACTTTAAAAAAATTATTTTCCTTTCGCTCTATTATATACTGTTTTATCAGGTGAATTTCTCGGTATTCACAGTGTTGTAATATGAAGTTTGTGTGTTTAAACTGATAAGAAACAATAAATTGGTTGATCAACTAATAAGAACTTGAAGATAATTTATTCTTAAAGTGTAAAGTACTTTGTTAATGTTCACAATAAAAGTTCATTGTGAAATACGAGTTTATTCAGTCAGTTAAGCTTTCTTTAGCAATACATTTTATACAGTTTTCTTATTCCAGTCAAGTACACATAACAGAAGTAATTTGTGATAGTCTCATCAAGTGGGAAACTGATTCGTTTTAAAAAGGAAATGAAATGAATGAAAGATGTGAGAAAGAAGTCCTTTAAGACTGGTTAAAGGAAAATGCATGTAATATGATAAAATGTTTGATTTTTTCAGATACTATTTAAATGTTATTTACAAAGTTGATTGATGGATGGACACTAGCAGTGGAATCCAGGATGCACATTTCGTTCTATTTGACCACAAGAGGCAGCTCTTGCGGCCCATTTGGTCTAGTGTACAACTCCTTGGCGGTCGAACCGATGGGTGCTGGGTTCAATTCTCTGTAAGGACTGCTCCACATCCTGTCGTTTGCAGGTAAATCCAGTTGGCAAGTCTCCAAGTAGGATGAAATATGAATTCTAGATTCCCTTGTAAGTTACCATTCACCAAATAACATCATGCCAGTCCTCAGATATCGTTGAAGTGTCCTTACTAGAAACTTCTACGTCAACAGAGACCAAACATTTCGGTCAAATATACATCAGTCAATGGGAGATATAAAAATTAACCGAAATAAATTATTTAGAAAGCATATACATTGTGTTAACTGTCGGAAACTTCATAAAATACTGTCATATTTTATATTAAGGTAGCTATCACCCCTGTTTTTGAAAAAAAATTATTATTATTACCAGTACACTGGATAGCGTAATATTCTGGTATGTCGGTAAAATCACTCGACTCATTTATAAAAACATCCACATATTACAGAATTGTTTTGTTTGTTATGTTTAGTGTTATGGATATATCTGTGTTTTACTTTTAATCTACTAGTAGAATAATAATTTGTGCTTATACTTGCGAAATACCTTTGAGGTTTACTTGTTTTTCCAAGGTCAACTTCAATGAGAAGATTATGAAAGCTTTAGGGAAATGAATAGCTACTCGATCTTAGGTTAAGCCTTGTCAACCACTCAACGGATTGAATCCGGAAATGCTTTATTGTTATTCGTCTGGGTATATTAAAATTCCTCAAAGATTTCTTATTCTTTACGTCGTTTAGTCTGTAGTGTAAGGTCGATTTGTCTTGCTAAATATCTTGATATGAACCTACGGTAATAAGCTGAAGACTCTTTGAACATTGCGTTCTCTGAGCTGGATGATTTAATTATAGTCTATAGTAATGTGTTTGTTAATCTCTGATTCTAGTTTCTAGGAATTCCCTGGCATTTTTGGCGTTTGTACTGTCTAAACTTTCTACACCTCCAAGTCTGATCACGGATTGATGTCAGTTAGAGCACCATTGAAAACTAGGTAGTACTGGACAGATGTTTCGTCTTGGTTTGGCGTTCTTCACCAGTGCACACTCACAACCTTACCTGGGACCTCAGGTTACGAGGCCAAGCTCCTTGACCATTCAGCCACTTGGGCTCGAATTCAATGACCTGTGAATTCTTACTTCCTTCGACTTGCGATTTCAACACGACCGCCAACCAATGTCATCGGTGGGTATTTGTCCTCACAACCAACCTGATGGACGCTACTGGTCACAAACTTTCACTAGAATTCTAAGCAACGTCGTTTTGTAGTCAGTCATTAGTGAGCATAAGATTAATTTTCAAGAGTTTGTTCATAAGTATTTGATTTGTTTAAGTTTGATCGCGGATTAATGCCAGTTAGAGAACCATCTTCCCAGTCAATATTGATGTCCATGGTTATCTATGTGCATCGATATTTAGGAATACATGTTGTGTCTTTTCACAGCTAGATTATATTCTTGGTATGATTAGGAGCAATAAATTGTGCTCGAAACGTTATCAGTAAATATTACTATAAAAAACTACGAGGCTTTATCGAAATAAATCTTATCCATAATTGATTTATACTCAATTACAGTTCCCAAGTTCTATCCTTATATCAGTTTGTATATACGGAGTTGAAGGGGATGCCAACTTTGACCATTATAGTGCTTATCATAATTCAGACAATTTATTTCGCTTAATTCAATGTAGTTTATTTGCTTATGAGTCTCCCTATGTATTTCTAATAGTAAATATATGTGTACTTGTATTTAGAGTATTCAGATGAAGAGTTCTATCGAAATTTGATGAATCCATTAAATCCTGCTGTCTTAACCTCTGCTTGTTTTAAATTTATTTTGTAGAGGGTGTTGATCTTTTCTTCTTTGTTGTTGGATCTTTTGATCTGCATAGTACTGAATGAAGTGATTTATTGGTTTGTGTATTGCATGTATTCCAAATGGTTTTATTATTCCAGCCATTTTGTCGTTATTATAATAATAAAATCATTAACCTACAGAGTATAAGAGATTCTTCAGTGACTTTTTGTTACCCTAGACTATTTATTATAGCTACTTTTAAGTTAAAACAGTTCCTGTAATTGATTTCCTGCCCTAGAAATAACTTACTTTTTTTTTCTATATTCACACTTCCTTTCGTTATTCTGTTATAGTTCACATAATACTGTAATTTCTTGTAGTTAGAATGATACTACATAGGTTTGTGTGTGTTTATGTGTGTGCGCGTCAAAGTAAACTCACAACAGCATGAGTCATAAGTTTTTCTTCTTTCGATATTAATATGTACGTAAGAAGGATAGTGAGCAATCTAAGTAATATCTTGATGATATCACTCTCAACTACTTCTTTTCGGGTGGAAAATGCTATTTTAAAAAAAATTCTTAAATAAATGTGCTCTAAGCTTTAAGAATGAGATGTCAGCTTCTCTGGAAAACTCACATACTTTCATTATAGTAGTGTGTTCAGCGTGCGCCTTATATATATGTATGATTAGTGTGTAGTGTTGAATATTCTAATTTATCAGTTTGTCATTTATGTGTTATTTATCATGATGACATGTATATGATAACTTTTAAATTATCTGTACCAATTAAATTTTTTATAGATATTTTTCCTTCAGAGAGTACCTCAATAACTGTTTAAATTTATCCTGTTATATTTTGTGATTAAATTAGATGCGAATGTGTGAGATACCGCAATTTTAGCTTTCTTTTTTTATATCTTGAGTAATAATAAAATAATTATGAACAGGTGATGATTTGTCTGTGTATTGATAAGTATGCATACAGAGTAATATTTTTCTAATGAAGACACGTATATTTTTGAATAGTGTTTATATGCAGGTGAATAGTAATACGATTATATTTCGGTGATGATGGTGACTAACAGTAGAAATCAGGAGGCACGTTACCATTTATTTTGATCAAGTGAGTTGGATATATCTACATTGCACTAAGTGGTTATGCTCTCAGTGAGACACAAAATAACCTGGCATTGTTTCAAATGCCACACTTCTATCCCCTAGCCAATTTTTTGGATATCAGTTGTTATTGAATAAAATTTCTTTGAACTTCCTGTACAGGAAATTTTAAATAAACTAAATTAAAAAGATTAGTTTGAATTTAAATAAAGCTATAGGTACATAAAAATTTAAGTGAATCCATATTGCTTCCATGTTTCATTTAGAGAAAGTTTTGTTTGTATGTTTAATGTGTTAGAGTTTAGTTCATTGGAAAACAGATATCATTACCAAATTGACATCATCTAGAAGATACTAAATAATGCTCTATTGAGAAATTAAGTGCTTATCCATTCAATTGAATGGTAACTTGACGAATAATTCTTCTTAATCTTGTGGTTGAGCTCTTTATCGAGAATATTTAAATTACAATGTCCTCTGTGTTGTTTAACTTCTTCTTATGACTAGCTGATTTAAATTTTGCTTTTCTTAAATTGAATCCTTTAATGAGACTTGAGATTTCGACGTATACTTAGTTTTTATGTAATTCTACTTTTTAAAAGAAATAGTTTGTATTTCCCAACAATTAACTGGATATTAAAATTTGTTAAATTCATTTATTGAAATATTATTGATTTTTCATATTCACTTTTCTCTTTCAAGTTCAATTGATTTATACTATTCAGCATGAATAATATCTCTTAGTTTTTTTCCCATTTCGAATAGTTTTGCTGCTGTTATTATTATTATTATTATTATTATTATTATTATTGATGGAGTAAACGTTGAATGTTCAAGTGATTCACTGAAGTTATTAAACTGTGATTGAATTTCTTAATTTCTAAATATTTTAATGTTTTCGGTGAGCATTTAGACTAACAACTTAAGATTATACATAAAGATTACTTTTTAGTGCTGAGCAAAACTTTCAAAGAAGCAAAGTATTCACGCCTACTATTCTTTTAATATAAAGGCATTTTGTAACTAAAAAATGTACTCACCATGCGTTGTCTGAAGGTTTCTTTAAGTGTTCCAACTCTGGACTCTTAGTAAATTGTAGTCACTTATGAGGAATAATGATAGTATGACATCAGCCAGAAAGGTTCAATAAGAAATCGATTATGCATGTTTATTACAGCTGGATATCGGTTATAAAATGAAACGGTTATTTTTCAGTAGTAAAGTTGAATGCATTAGAAAGAAGTAGAAAAATCTCTTGAATGTGAACTGGTTTCCTCTTTATTTACTCTTCTAATTATACATTAACACCAATGTTCTTTTTTTTAAAATAAAAATATCCCAGTGTATATCAAAATACACAGAATAGATTCATATTCTTATTTTGGCGTCTAACCGATCCAAGCAAGATAAGTCTTGCAATATAATGGCGTATAATAAATTATGAAACTTATCAAATTGTATTGTTTACATTTTACTGACAATATATAATGAACAAACAAGTGGAAAAACAATTGAATTGTTTTTTCTTTTTTCTTTTTATTCACTCAATATTTGTATATTTAATTTATTTATTCTTATTAATTACAAGGTAATTTAAAGTATACTAGATTACATTTGACAATTGTTCAAATATGGGTTTGTTAGGGATTTTTGTTTAATTGCATGGAGGATTTCATCATGAGCTGACATCAGTTAGAGATTCACTGGAAAACCTGGGAGTACTGGACAGCTGTTTCATCCTAGTTTGGGACTCTTCAGCAGTACGCGTCCACCGGGATTCGAACCCAGGACCTTCTGGTTACAAGGCGAGCTCCTAGACCAGTGGCTCAATGGTCTACGAGCTCGCCTTGTAACCAGAAGGTCCTGGGTTCGAATCCCGGTGGACGCGTACTGCTGAAGAGTCCCAAACTAGGATGAAACAGCTGTCCAGTACTCCCAGGTTTTCCAGTGAATCTCTAACTGATGTCAGCTCATGATGAAATCCTCCATGCAATTGTTCAAATGTTTAAAATACACTTTTCGAGAGGTCTAAATAAAAGGTTACTGTAATGGCTATCATAGTTACCCAAAGAGAAACTTTGGTAATTCATTCACATAATAAGTTCACGTTTGCATATTTGATATAGGGAAAAGATGCCTTTTTAAAGTCGGTTTTGTTTTTTCCATTGATTGATTCCACTGAAGTATTCAACCTCTGTTGACATATAGGTAAGAGAAGTAAAATTGACTTAAGCAAAATAATAACTGATACTCGTTGCACAAGAGGTCATTGGGTTCGAATCCCAGCTGGGACAATATCACTCACTGGGAATTGCAGTCACTTACTATTTTAGTATGCTGACTGTCTGTCAATAAATCATTGTGCTTATGATAAGTTGAGTGAAAATCGAATAGCATGTAATATAATCTTCAGTCGAACAAATAATTCACATGAATGTGTCATCATAATCTTACGACAGGTGGTATTGTGACGTATGCAACTGATAAGATTTATAAGTAGTATATAAGCGCAGATATAAATATGTATATCAACTTCAAAAATATCGAATAACGGAAAGACGGATTTAATGAACAGTGCTGGTGAAACAACATAGAAAACATGAAAGGAAGACGAAAAAGCACAATGCGGAAGACAAAACAGCACAACACCAAAGATATATGCAAATTGTGATTCTAACATATGTATATATAAATATGTGTATAATCCATCAGTTGGCGGCTCGCTTAAATCACTGGGCTCTCTAGTTTTTGCATCCATCAAAATACATCACTTTTACTCCATTTCAAATTGTCTTAATCTTCTAGTTACCACAATGAGACACAATCCGTACTCGTGCACAATTTCAAATAAGTTTCTACCTACCGCTAGGAGATTCTTGAAGAAAAAGGGGGTAAGAACAATGTGGAGTAGCATCAGAGCATAGTTCGGATGGAACAATATTTCTTCAGACGATATATCATCGATTATTATATTGTTTAAAGATTCCATGCAGGGGTAAACACCTTGCAATGAAACTCACTGAAAATTCTATATTGTGTGTAAACGCATTTTTCAGAGTAAAGTTATTATTAGACTCTCTTTGAGTACATTTGTGTATCTAGTTGCCAGTAAATAATTCCGTTACCGAATGCTCTTGTCTTTCGCGTCACATTATTACGGCTGCCAGAGTATTGTAAACGAAATGGAATTCCGAAAAAATCATTCAAACGTTTTTGAATAGTTTGAAAACTTGATGTACAGTCAAAGACTTCATGGATTGATTCCAAGTTTGGTTTTATGACCCCTTACTCTTTTTCACTCTAATCATATGTCAGTTTGTCGATGAAGTCAGCATGCGTAACACGTGTCCTTGCCGTCTCAATCGATGCAGATTCATAACTTAATTGATTAACTTCCCGTTCTTACCTAACATTGTGCCTAACGTCAATATTATTCACCATATTATACTACTTAACACGGGAGATGAAATGCAAGTTTCAGTGGTCAAGGGATAATATCTTATCGATCAATATTTTCTCAGTATGAAAACTGTTTCAAAATGCAGTTAATTACTCATTTTTAGTGGACATTTTTACTATTATTCATATATCTCAGTATCTTATTTATGTGGCTTTAATATATATATATATATATATATATATATATATATATATATATATATATATAATATATATATATATATGATAATTTCTTTTAAACTAGTTCAGTATATTCTACATTAAATTGCTTTGTTTAATAAAAGTACTTGATTGTCTTCTACTTTCATTTTTGTCTTTGTTCATCTTAGCCAAAAGAAATTGAAAAGGCCATGGTATAGAGAAACATCTAGTGCAGAAGAAAATGAAAGAGCACGTGAAGCTTATCGGGCTCTAATGACTCTTACACTTTTAAAGCCTGACAGTCCAGAATATCGCACATTCACTGAAGAAGTAAGAGCAAGAGCTCTGCGTGATTATGATTTCAGTTACCGAGACTCTGAAGTAAGTTGTTTTTATTTCACAATGCTTAATATTTAAATTAATTTTTTGAATTTGAAGTAGAAGTGAAAAAGGTTAGCCTACCTATTATTATTTATTATTATTGTTGGCTTGTGTTCCTAGTGGAACATAAGGCTTCATCAGTACATCTCCACTTTGCGTGGCCTAACGATCACCCATACTTTCATATCCAACTTGCACTATCTCCTCCATTTCATCCTTGGACGCAAGCCCAACTCGTCAATTCCCATTCGCTTTCCATTCGAACACTGGCCTGGCGTGCGATGTCATTCGATGGTCTCCCTATTGTGTGACCAATACATCTCTATTTCCTTCATCATCTTCGTTGAGCAATAGGTTCCTGATTAGTTCGTTCCCAGAGTTCATTGCTGCTAATTCTTTCTGGCCGTTTCATCTTCAATATGCAGCCAGCCAAGGCAGCTGTTAGTAAAAGTCTGCAGTAGCCTGTTGGAAATGCTGATGTAGTAAAAAGCTGAAATGTGTCTATTGATATTATTATTCCCTTGGATTCACTTGAAATCTTATCTTCGCTGCTTCTTCTTCCAAATTGTTGGTTTTCGCCTGCAAGTCTTCGAGTTTATGTGACACTAGACACATATCATCTGCGAAATCCAGATCTTCTAGAGTTTTCTCATCGGTGGTCCAGCGTACTCCTGTCTCATTGCTCCTTGCAGTCTGACGCACAATCCAGTTTACCACAATTGAGAATATCATCGATGATAATAGGCAGCTCGCTTATCTTACTCCTGTATGCACTTCGAACGCCTCGCTGAGTTTCCCGGTGTGGATCACCTCACACGTGGCATTGTTATACATCCAGCTGTTGATTGAGGTTAATAAAGACTTGAGGTACTCCATGGTGTTGAAGCAGTTTCCAAATTAATCCTGTAACGACAGAAGGCAAGAGTCAGGCAACAGATCATTTATTAAGGAAATCAACGCATATTTATATATGTTTTCATGTACATTACTATGGATACGTAAACAAACAAACACAGTCTTCCGATTGGTTGTTTCTCACGTAAAGTTAATCTTTCATCTATTTGTGACTGTTCCATAATGGATAAGAATTTATTTTGATAAATCACACAGTGTAGTACAGTTATATTAACTGATGACGTTTCGAGCACAAACTATTGCTCATAATCATATCAAGTTACTCACACAACTTCTTTCCTTCATTTATATACATGTGTGGAATCGACTAGATATTGGAATAAAATTCAATATGAGATAATGTACATTCAGAAATAATAGTACGAGTGTTATTAATCCATTGCAATCCATTGCTTCTTAACACATATAAACTCACAAGTAGAAGGAATAAAATTCACATTTGAATCAGAAAATGAACAAGGAGAATTAACCATGTTAGATTGTAAGATAAAACGAATAGAAGAAGGCGAACTACACACTAGTGTTTATAGAAAACCAACGCATTCTAATAGATATTTAGACTTTAATTCATCTCATCCGTTAACTGTTAAGGCAGGCTTGGTTAAGTGTTTGACAAACCGAGCCATAGCACTAAGTAGCACAAAAAAGGACCTAAATGACGAAATAAAACAGATAGAAGAAGCGTTGGTGTTGAATAACTATCCTATAAAATTCATCAAGAAGATCAGTAAACGCCAAAAACAAAATAAAAATAATTGTGTAACTAGTAGTAATAACATAAATAAGAGAGAATATAAGTCTTCTACTGTTATACCATATAAGGAGGGGACATCTGAGGCCATACGTAGGATTCTCAATAAAGCAGGAATTAGAGTGGCATTCAAACCAACAAACTCACTCAGAGACAAACTTTGTAGGTTAAAGGACCCGTTGGACCCCATTAAACAAAATAATATAATTTATAAAATACCTTGCAATGACTGTGAAGTCAACTACATAGGTCAAACTAGTAGGTCAGGGATAGTCAGATTATCAGAACATAAGAATTTAGCTAAAGGGAAAATGATTGACCCTGAAAAGATAAGTAATTTAGAAAAAAGCTCAGCTATTGCACTTCACGCAATAACAAACAACCACACAATAGGGTGGGATAGGGTTAAAATTCTAAAAAGTAATATAGGTAGGTGGAAAGAGAGGTTGATTACGGAATCCTTATTCATCGAGTCTACACCCAACACATGCAACAGAAGTGACTCAATGCAAATACCAGAAATATGGAAGATATTATTACCGCCAGTCAAATCAGAAGAAGATAAATAGTCTTAAAATTCTATTTCCATTCAAGCACATCATAACATTCTAACAATCAACTTATTATGACTATAAAAACACTCGTCGTAATTCCCATCTAATTCAATGGATTAATAACATGTATTACAGTAATCAAAGGATAATAAATAATCTTAAAATTCTATTTCATTCAAACACATCAACACATTCTAACAATCAACTTATTATGACTATAAAAACACTCGTCGTAATTCCCATCTAATTGCAATGGATTAATAACACTCGTACTATTATTTCTGAATGTACATTATCTCATATTGAATTTTATTCCAATATCTAGTCGATTCCACACATGTATATAAATGAAGGAAAGAAGTTGTGTGAGTAACTTGATATGATTATGAGCAATAGTTTGTGCTCGAAACGTCATCAGTTAATATAACTGTACTACACTGTGTGATTTATCAAAATAAATTCCTATCCATTATGGAATTATACTCTACCACAGTGCCCAAGTTTAATACTTATATTTGTGACTGTTTCTTGAATGTCAAATCCTCTATATGTTAACTGCATCCGCCTACGCAAAGTCTGCTGTGGTCGGTTTTGAATCAATCTTTGTTCACATTTTCTCACGACAAATCTTGGGAACATAAATATTGACGTAAATTACTGTCTACCGATTTGGCTAGTAGACAGCTCTCACCACAATCCTCGGTCAATGCTGTCTGGTGAAGGCCTTTACGAAGTCGATGAAGTTTAAGTAAAGATTTGAGTGCCATTCTATGCTTTGTTCTGTTGTGACGATGTGTAGAGTTGTAATTTGATCAGCACATGATTCGCCTTTCCTGAATCCAGCTTTTTCCGGTGGGTGGCGGAGTTCTGCATCCAGTGCATCCTTTATTCTTTCCAGGATGATGCAAAATGGTATTTTAATTGGCGTGGACAAGAGCATGATTCGACGCCAGGCAGAGGCTTAATTTGCCCTTCTTTGGTAGCCTGATAAGTTCGGCTTTCTTCCAATCGATAGGCGCATTTCCTTCCTTTCAAACGTTCTGCAATAGTGGCGTGAACACATCTGCCGCAGTCTCTGGGTCCGTTTTCAGTGCTTCGGGGTGGGGGAATTCCGTCTGGCCCTGCTTTTATAATTAATAGATAACTTGATATGATCATAAACCTTAAAATGTAATCAAAACATCTTCCAGTAAGTGCTGCTGTTATTCTGTGTGATATGTCCAATATAGGAATTAATAACAAATTACATACTACCACAGTGTCCAAGTTTCACACATGTGTCTGTTTGTTTTCTTCTCTGTCAATCTGACTTGTATGTTGTATTTTCATGATTACGCTTCTTGATAAAGAAATTAAGTTCACTCATAATTTGTCATATAGTCGATTGTGTTGGTCTAAACCGTGTGCTTGCAAGTGACTGAAAATTGTTTTGACTGGAATATATATACATTTATATAAACTGTAACTAGAAATAATCCTAATTATAGATTTTAGCTGAGTTGGCTGATATTCGGACGTGGATTTCTTCGCACTTTCTTCTGCTCTAAATCTGTGAAACCTTTCCCATTATATAATTTAACTATCCAATGTTATTCCATCATCTTTCTCTGCTTCTGGTTCATTAAACTATTTTGTTTATTTGTCCGTAGTCAATTTGTCACTTGATATCTTTTAAAGATCTCTGGTCATCTGGATTGATCGAGAATTTAGTTTTTCCGTTGTTCCTATTAGTTTTTATACAGATTAATATGTATAGGGAAATAGTGTGAAAAGCTTGATGATTTATTTTACGCATTAGATTGTATTCATCTTATCGATAACTGTCATCATATGAATAGATAGTAGTTTTGCTGCGTTGTTTGTGTGTATGTGAGTGTGTATGTAAATTGCCAATTTACTTGTTCTTCGTGTTTGTCATCATATTCCTTTATTATCAGTTATCAGTAAGCTTTTTTGATTACTTCAATTACTTTTAATTTCGTGTTGATTGGTTCTATTGAACCGAAGACGCCATCCACTGCTGAAATACATGAATACTTACTTAGCTGACGAGCCCCAATTGGAACAAATCACTCGTGTCCTGGAATTTGTCAGTAGTCACCGTGTACCAAATTAACCTCTGTGAAATTGAGGTACACCACAACTTTTAACTTGTAACTTTTCAGTGGTATTTGTGTTATACTGGCATTCTTGATAGCCTAGAAAAGTTCTTAGTATTCGGTGCATTTTTAGTTTGTTTTCATGTTTGTTTAATTTGTGGTCAGCTTTTCTTACTTTCATTTTGAAATTTATTTGAGATAAGAGCTCTTGTGACCGACCATACATTATTTATAATTATTATTCTTTCTATACATAAGTAGGTTAATCATTCGTTTCTCCGCTTTATCTAACATTGAAGCGCTATATCACACGTTTTAGTGAAAGTTAAAAAAACAACAAACAACTGTTATTTAGGAAAAGAGCTAACTACTTTTGAAGTTTTCACTCTTTTTACGTTTCTTTCTTTCTTTGTTTTCAAAGTAAATAAAACATGTTTATCAATCAGTGAAAATCCAGCAATACCTATATAAATTTTGGGTATGGTATTGTTGGTATTGTTCTAATGTATAAATGGTATACATCAACGTATCACTAATTCTCGGCTCTGTTATGACCGTTAAGACACTTTGTAGTTTGTGCTAACAAACTTACTACCTAGTCAATTTGCGAGACTACTGTTCTAATTAATAGTAGCAACAACAACACGATACGATACCACTACTCAAGAAGACAAGAAGACA